GGGGCAAACTGCTCAGAACACACGTGTCAAACTCAGGCCCGGGGGCCAAATCTGGCCTGCGTTGTAATTATATTTGGCCCGCGAGATCATATCAAATGTGTACTACAGTTAGCCCGCCAGTATCTAGCTCCTATATACTAGTAGAATTTGTAGTATTAGTGCTGTATGTACTATGTTATGGCACATACATTTTTTTTGTTTTTGTTGTTGGCCTGTGAGAAAAAAGATTTATATTAAAAAGGCTACATTACATATCTAGAGAGAAGGGAAAACATGCACATTTCCAATCAAATTTTCAAAAAAATATTGAGTTTTGGCACAGCCACCTAATCCCAGTTTTTAATTTTGGCCCAGTGTGAATTTGAGTTTGACAGTTGCCTTCAAGCTTTTCTGCTGTTTATGTGGCTCACATCTCTCTTTGCACACACTCTCTAATATAATACCTGTGTTAGCACTGGTCTCCATATCAGTATGAGCAGCAACACTTCGTAGTCGAACGTGAGGAATTCAGCTCATCCGCCAGCTGAGGATGCACGTCAGTGTGTGACTTTGAGGATCACTGAGGTGCGATAAGCGGCTTCACTCGGTATTTGAGGGAAGAAGGTTTTCAGGTTATTGAGTGTGGAGCGCTAGTCTGGAGTAACAGACGATTCTTGCTGATGTGAGAAACATGAATAAAGATGGCTGAAGGTTCAAGTTCATATCCAGCCCTATATTCTGACTGTCAACACTGGTCACATGACCAGTGCTCAAACATTCAAGTCACAATAGAAATGAAGTCTTCGGGGCGCTCACGCTAGGATCAGCTGTTCTGTACTGTTACTGTTACCCTGTACTACTCTTCTCCCTCTTAAGGTACTTCACTGCATTTGTCCACATGTGGCTAAGTGTCTTACACTAGTCATCGAATTTAGACTTAAGGTGGCAAACGTGCTTGGCCGCGGTACAACCGGACTAGTGTGAGAGCACCCTTAAATTTCTGACATGTGCGGAAGAATAATTGATTTCCAGAGAGGGTCCGAAAAAAAAAAAAAAAAGAAAGCAGAGACAATAGCAAAGTCAACAACAAACATGACAGAACATGACTGAAAACCATGCAACACAAATAAAGACAATCTGGCAATGAATGAATGGAAAAGAAAGCCAATGTTTGGCCAGGACACAGGTTACACACTTAAAGCAGATGCAAATACAGACACAGATGGGAAACACAGGAGGGCGACTGTAGGTGATAACAGGAGAGTGGAAAGTTGTTTACCTGGATACTAGAGCTGAAATATAAGAGTAAAACAGATAATGTAGATTATTATTCAAAAGGGAAAGCACTAAACTAGCAGGGCTGGGTGTTGCAGATATTTCGTATATACTGATATTACTTAGCAATGCGTATTCAAAACACTTATTATTATGATGGGGGGGTTGGTACTGGATGACACTCGATAGTATGTTCAACAAATTTACATTTAAATAAAAAGTGTGTTCTTCGTGGTGCGTAGCCTCCCAATCGCCCCGGAAAAAAAACTCCCATGAAAGAGTTTTCCTCTGTGCGTGACTGTCGATAATTTTATAAAACCGAACTCCTAAAGCATCATACAACTGATAACATGCAGATAGATAGGTGGATGGATGACAGACGGTCAGACAGACGGATGGACGGACAGATAGCTAGATGGATAGATGGATAGATAGATAGATCATATCGTATCGTGTTGGGATTAATAAAAACATTAGCTACTATATTTGCTGCCACGA